TAAGAGATTAAATTTATCAAATTGAACTGTTTATGATTATTTGAACAAATTGGTTTTGTTTCAAATTATGATATATGGGTTCCACGTGTTCTTAAAGAGAGATGCTCTCTTTGGTGGGATTAATTTAATTAATTAAGGAAAATTTATTTTTTTAAATTTAACAATTGATTCGAAAGTGCACTCATATCGAGTAAACAAATTGAGTAATATCATCAAATAGAAAAGGCAGCCAGAATTGATCAACAAAACAGGTGTTGTGTTTTATCACGATAATGTCAAATTTCACACAAGTTTGGCAACTCATCAGAAACTGTTATAACTTAGATGGGAAGTGCTATCATGCCAACCATATTCGCCAGATCGAGCACATTCAGATTACTACTTGTTCCGGTCTATATAAATTTTTTTAACTGTAAGACATTTACTTGAAATGACAATGTCAAAAATCACTTGGATCAGTTTTTTGTAAGCAACGGTCAAAACTTTTATGAATGTGAAATCATGCTACTACCAGAAATGATGACAACAGGTATTTGACCAAAATGGTCAATATATTTTTCAATAAAAGATTTATTTATTATAAAAATTTTGTTTTTTCCCCACAGAAAAAAAAACCGAAATTACTTTCCAAACAACCCAATAGTAGATATAAAGCAGAACTACCCCATTGGCCAGATGGATGGAAAGTAAGATGTCTGCTTATCACTGATTCCTGTTTGTGATTTTTAAAGGACTTTTTTACCTCTGGTGGCATGAAGCCTAAAAAGGAAGGCCTGTTGCCATGAATGTGTATGTGTATAGTCTGAAATGCAAAATAAATGGTGGTCCCTCTTTGACAGACTTGTCTTCAATTTGGTCAATAATAATCCCGCCATTGGACAGAAAAATTAACAAAAATTAAAATAAACAAACCATTTAATATCAGGCTATTTAAGGTTACAACTTGATTAATTATAAATTACTTATCCAAAGAAATTTGTATTAAAAAGTTAAGCAGTTAAAACCATCATTTCATATCAACATTAAAATTTACACTAAATGTTTTATTACATTTAATAATTTAGAATACTCTGGAAGAAAAGATTAACTTTGAATAGGACTTCCCACAACCATCTTTTTTCTTTAGCTTTTACTTTCAATGTAATAAATTACATTGAAAGTAATTTTTTTCTTTAGCTTTTACTTTCAATGTAATAAATTACATTGAAAGTAAAAGCTAAAGAAAAAAATTATAAAAATTAAAGAAAAAAGAAATAATGAATGCATTATGTTTTTTGTCACAAGAACATATCAGGCTAAATGCTTCAGTATTGAAAATGAATAAGAGTTAATATTTTAGTTAACTGTCAAAATGCAACTTAGCTATCCAAAGAGTAATTGTGCTATAACTTAATAAGTCTTAGCCATCCTATAATCATCATCAAAAAGAACCCTACTTCAAAAATTTAATTTGCATCTGTCTTATAAAACAGAGATGAGGGCCTAATAGAAATCTGTAAACTTCAAAGGAAATAACTTTATTTATAATTCTGTTTGTTGCCATAGCAACAATTTCAAATAATTAGAATAATAATTTCATTTTCAGTTTTATTAAAGTAACTATGCTATTGCTTTAAACAATTAATGAAAAAACTGTTGTTTGACAAATGGCTAAGAAATCCAGAAAAACTAAGACATTTCATAGCAAAAGAGCTACAAATTTCCCCGCAGTACGCAAATGGAGTATTAAATTGGTTTCCTGAGATATTGCCCTTTTCTCAAATGACAGGTTTTTATGGAAAATATGGCACAACAGCTCACAACTAAACCAGAAGACAATCAAGTCCAAAAATTGTAGCAAAATGTGTAACTAATCAAACAATGGCTGCATTCAGCAGACTCATCAGTTCCAGATATGTTGAGTATTTTTCTGCTGAACACCCTCTACAGCAGCACTATTTCAGAATAAGTTTGGTGTTTTCACATCACATTTAGTAATTCATTTAGTACTTCATTTATACTACCTTTTATTAGATGCAACTGATTAATGATAGCTGTGCCCATGCAAGAGAATAGTCATTATACATCAATACAAAAGTATTCATTGCAACATTAATATTCCACTAAAAAAAGGTATGTCTAATATAAATTTAAAAAAAATAAATTCATCTTTTAACTTAAATAAACAAAGTTCGTACATGTGAAAGTAGAAACTATTACTAGTACCACCACCTCCCTGTTCCAATGCATATTTCACTCATCATTCATCAGCATCATATTGCTACATAACAGCTACCAATTGAAACACCTTTAATAATAAACAACGCTTTTTGCTCACGACTGAAAATTAGACAGAATTAGATAACCCAACAAATAGGGTATAACATTTTTTTGCAGGGCTTGGTGTGATAAGCTCTGCAAAAAAATGTTATACCCTATTTGTTGGGTTATCTAATTCTGTCTAATGAAACACCTTTGTTTGATTACAACTGCTGTCTCTGCTGAATGCAACCAATGGTTCAAAAGGCTAAGCAAGCATGCAAGTATGAAATAATATAAAAACAAAAAATACCTACAGTGATTGAAAAACAAAAGTTGATACTTAAAACTAGGACTTTGAAATTGTATTCTTTAACTGGAAAGAATAATGCTTGTTTGGTTTTAGAAAACATATGTAAAGGCTGACTTCTCAACAATTCCAGGCTCATGCTATTATACAGCAATTGAAGAAGTTCTTCTGGAATCTCAGTCATCAACTGATGTCTAAAAGTTTGGCTCAAAATATCTGATACTTTTCAATCCACACTTCAAATTCTTTGCAGTGTGGATTGAAAAGTTCATCATTTGTGACAAAAGGAAATATTAATGAACAAATAAAAAAATGTCTTCTTCCTTTTTTTAAAAATTCATGGTGCCATACTTTATTTTGGCTGGATTTGTCAACAAAAGACTTTTTTTTTAACTCTCTCTGCCCTGTGGGCATTAAGAAGGTCTCTTTTAGCAAGCCCATTATGGTTTCAGCCAGGCCCACAATGGGGCAGCCAGGTGGTGAGGGACAAAGGTCAACATATCTGGTCAAGCCATCCCTGAAAAATTCCTGGGGATTTTTCAACCTGTCTGGATTCAATCCCAGATCCCCAGAGCAGTAGGCTTCCACCTGGACCGCTCGGCCATTCAGCTGGCAACAATTACTATGCAAAATCCACAGTAAGTTGGCTGGAACAGTACAGATTCAATTTTGTACCCGGAGACAAGAATCCACCAAACGTACCACAATGTCAACCCACAGAAAAATTCTGGTCTCTTGTAAAAAGATATATTAAAAAACACAACAAACAGCAAAAGACATTAAAATGTTATAATTATTTAAGTCTTAAATATTTTTTAAAAACGAACTTTTAAATAAAAGTAAAAACTTTCTGATTGCATTACATTACCTTCTGAATTTTACAGATTTTTATTATTACAGTCCTCAGAGTCAAAACATACGAGGGCTGTTTGGAAAGTTCGCGGCCTCAAATAAAACAACAAACAAAATAATGTTAAAACTTTTTTATTTTTTAATGTAGACTCCTTTGTTAGCAATGCACTTATTCCAGCGATGTTCTAGCTTTTTTATGCCATCACAATAGGTCGATTTGTCAAGGTGTGCAAAATACTCGTTCACTTCAGAGATGACTTCGTCATTTGAGTGGAATCTCTTTCCAGCCAAGAATTTTTTTAGGTTTGGAAAAAGGTGGAAGTCACTGGGGGCCAAATCAGGTGAGTACGGTGGATGTGGAACTAATTGGAAGCGAAGTTCGTTTATCTTTTGTTCAGTGATTCTGGCGGAATGTGCAGGTGCATTATCGTGGTGGAACAGAACTTTTTTCTTCTTCAAGTGTGGCCTCTTTTCTTCGATTTCTTTCTTCAGTTTTTCCAAAAGTTCACAGTAATAGACAGCATTAATGGTCTTTCCTCTTTCTAGGTAGTCAATAAAGATGATGCCTTTAGCATCCCAAAAAACCGAGGCCATCACTTTACCCGCTGATGGAACTGTCTTTGCCTTCTTTGGTGGTGGCGAACTGTGGTGTTTCCATTGCTTCGACTGTTCTTTTGTTTCAGGAGTGTAGTAATGGATCCACGTTTCGTCAGTAGTCACAAACCGACGCAAGAAATCCTGTGGGTTTTTCTGGTAGAAGTCCAAACACTCCTTTGACATCAAAGTGCGAACACGTTTTTGCTCGGCGGTCAGCAGATGCGGCACCCACCTTGCTGAGACCTTCGTCATACCCAAATTTTCGGTTAGGATGTGGTGCACTCGGTCGACAGAGATGCCTGTTGTCTCAGCTATCTCACGCGTTTTCAAACGGCGATCTGCTAATACCAAATCGTGAACTTTGTCGATGTTTTCTTCAGTGACAGCAGTTGACGGCCGTCCGCTGCGAGGGTCATCTTCCACACTCTCTCTGCCAGATTTAAAAAGGGCTGTCCATTTTTTCACAGTGGTGTACGAAGGAGCAGACTCTCCCAAAACTTCATCCATGTCAGCTTTGATTTGAGATGGGGTCAACCCTTTTTTCGTCAGGTATTTTATGACCGCATGAGTCTCCGTCTTCTCCATTTTTGACAAAGTATGTGCACACTGACTATCTGCTAAGCTGTCGTGGCAAAACTTTTTGACAAATCAAGCGGAAATTGGTATCGTATCTCTAGCACAGATGGCTGAATTATTCCCGCCAAAAATTAAATTGATCGCAGCGCCGCATATAGGCAAGGCCGCGAACTTTCCAAACAGCCCTCGTATTTTTTTAGGCTTGTAAAAATTAATGATCATCATTTCTATTACAAATGATCTCTTAAAATTTAAATATTTTAGTTTCTATTAACACTAGATTCTTTAGTGAAACAGTCAATGAAATTAAATATATTACAAACTACTCAAAGGAAAAAATTTAATAAAATGATAAACTATATATTTAAATGCAACAAATGTATTTTTGTAACACATACAAATTTTATAAATTTACTAATGTACTTACCTGTTTGATAATGAGTCTCATTACTAGAATAAGCTACTTGTGCTGTCTGAGGATAATATGTTTGAGCTTTCTCATAGGCAGTCTGTAATTTAACAAGATTTTCATTATATTTTTAACTTCAAAAATCTATATACTTTTTAATTATATTTATATATTTTGAGATAACATGTGAAATTCATAAAAATAGTATTGCAATTACCATCATCATTATTATTATAGAATAAATAAATATAACATAAAAGCCAATTGGAATGGCTATTAAGAACAAGTAAATTTTAGATTTTGAATTAAAAACATTTTGTAAATGCGTATAAAATTTTGGCACGCATGCGCCTTAACATACAGCATAGAAGCCGATCAGAATAGAGCCATAAGTGCACGTTTACATTAAAATTTTAAATATAAAATCGTGACATAATTTAAAATACATAAAACATGCGTAACATATAAAAATAATACGCACATAAAGAGGCCGACACATATGCGCCTTGATTCATATAGGAGGTGCAGGAAAAGAGTGTAGAATTATTGTTGATTTTTTAAACGCCTGTATAAATTAATCCAGATGTCCGGTAAGTCGAGGGTAGGGGAGTTGCACGGGGAGAGCAGTTTTGTGAAGATGGCCTCCCAAATATATATTAAGCTCCCTTCATCACAGCGTTTGAGTATTGCCACTCGATTCCAAAGCACTATGTGGTGTTGTTGTATCACCAATTTGGAAAGTTCCGTGTCGCAATTGCCAAGTGCCACCGAACGTTGGTGTTCAGATACGTGAGCAGCCAGCATTCTGGTAGTCGCTCCTATATAATTGGTGCACAGTCCTGATATTGGATTTTGCAGGGGAATAGAGTATACACCAGATTTTTCCAGGATGGAAATGGCATCTCTATCATTACACAAGATTCGTCGCAGACATGGTCGTGGGGCTACAGGTAAATGAAAACCATTCTGCCTAAAGATCCGGCAGATCCGGGCCGTGAAACGTCCACAGTATGGGAGTGAGGGACGAAGCGTTGTCCAATCCCTTGGTCTGTGTAATGTGGTGGCAGGGAAGAGAGACTGCATAACTCTATTTTTAACATGGATGTATTTGGAGGAACTAAATCCTGCCACGTACACCGCTGTGCGGACAGCCTCCAGTTCAGTATTGATAAGATGCTGTGTCGATGGTAGTAAGAATGCCTATCTGATCAAGGGAGCTATGGCCGCATTAACATATTGCTGTGGTTGACAGGCTGTGGCCAGTATTATGGGTGGGATATTGCCATACTTGTGATAAACGGAAAACTCCAAGCCTTTCTGGGATTTGTGAATGTGCAAGTCCAAGAAAGCGATTCTTCTCCCAATTTCCTTCTCCCAAGTGTATAGAGGTATACATTTTTGATAAGTGATGTTCTAATACCCGGAAGGAGTGTTCCGTATCCTGCCATGCCAAAATAATATCATCTACGTATCTTAAATAAATTAAGGGGTAAGCTATAGTGAGAGGGACTTTAAAAACGCTGTGTTCAATGCGCCACATGATAAGTTCTGCCACTACAGCTGACAGTGGTAGCCCATCGGCACCCCCTGTTTCTGCAAATAAATCTTTCCATTGAAGCAGAAGTAATTGTGCTCTGTAACAAAGAGCAATGCTTCGCGAACTTCTAAAACTTGCTGTGCAGTAAAGCCCTCTTTGATAAGTAAAGTATTGGCTAGTATCACCGCTTCGAAGTGCAGTACTGAAGGGTACAATGCAACAACATCCATTTTATAAAATGTGTAAGTATCTGGATTCAAGCCAGCCAGCGTAGCGCATAACCTTTCTTTAGCCGTAACAGATGAGGACACTACTTGGGAGGAGGGAGGAAGTAATCCATCTAGCAATCTAGCAAGTGCTTTTTCAAGGAAGTGTGTAGGATGGGACCGCTTATTGACTAAAGGCCTTAATGGCCAGCTCTCTTTGTGCGTTTTTGCCTCAAAGAAAAGTCTGGGGCAAGTGACGTTAGATGGGGGATCTGGCAAATTCTCTATTCAATTTTGAATTGCCTGAAGATGACGTACATATTTACGTTGAAAGCGCTTGCAAGATTAAAATATTTCTTTTAATTTTATTTAACGCCTCATAGTCTGAAGTTTCTTAATGAAGTTTTTGATCAATACTAAAATATACCACAAACCGAGCTATATTCCAATATACATCCCAGCTGACTCTAATGACCCATAAAAGTACAGAGTAGCAGACATTAGATCACTTCCTAAAAGGGCCCACACATATTGTAACAAAGAGCAAGACAAAGAAGGAAACAGAAAGAATAGCAGAGATTGCCAAGACACATGGTTATACTAAAAGCTTAGTATATAAAACAGCAAACAAGCAGAGAAACCAACTTGAAAATGAATTGAATAAAATTCCAATGAGGGTATTCCTCAGTGAGATGCCTCTCCCTACCACATTATTATAACATATGAACACCATATGCATTCTTTATATTAAGAAATTGAAACATATATTAATGCAAAAATTGCTTACAGATGTACACCAGATACATTGAAACTACTTTGAAATGAAAAATATCAGACAGACATGGAAAGAGCACTGGGGGTATATAAAATTCTGCTCAAAGATAACAGGTTTGATAGAAATCTTATATATATTGGGTCTACAAAAAAGTCTCTGAAGCAACAACTTCATGAACACAAAGCTGATATAGAAAAGAAGAGCAAGACCACCACCTTAGCTACACATGCCAGTAAGAACGAAATTAAGCCAGAACTACAACAGGCTACCCTAATATGACAAATGTGCCAAATAAACCAACTTAAGAGTTTGGAGGTGCTGGAGATATTTAAAGCAGACTGCCAGACCTATTTATCAACTTCAAGGATGAAAAGCAAATCTCAAAGGCATGGCAGGCTATGTTTGACACGACATTATGGTAAACAACATAAGTGCACCTGATTCAATAATGGAAGGAAAAAATTTATAATAAAGAAAATATTTGAAATTCAAATGTGTCAAAGTCATATGCATTCCAAAATAGAACACTACTAGAACTGGAGAGAGTCAATTTTAGAAGGCTCTACCTCAGGAAGTTGCTAGAAGTGGATTGAAAACATTAGTAATGTAATAGTTTTCAAACCATGTGCAAAGCACAATACTCATTTTGCACAATTGTGGTTAAGATGCTCAGAAGAGCATCTTAACCACATTTGGCCATTAATAGATAATATGGTCCCACAATAATTCCCATGAAAAAAAAGCAGAGGCGTACCTAGAGTGGAGCAAGTAGGTCATGTGCCCTGAGTGCCTTTCAAAGAGAGGTGCGCAGAATCGCCAATTATTAAATTTAAAAATCAAAATAAACCAATACATATCAAACAATCTCCTCTGTGACTCACATGCTTAGCAAATGAGTGAGAGGGAATGAGTGGTGTGTGCAGGTGGTGCACAAGCTCATTCGAATTCGACATTTCTCACACAGTTGTTTATTTTGTTTACATGTGATTGTGATTCTGATTTAAATACTCCTGAGCGAGCAAGCATTATTGAAGCTACTTGATTTGTTATCTAATTGTCAGTGTGTGGCTTGTTGAGCCTTGTTTTTTTTTCCTCTATCTTTTTCTCTTTCTTCCACCATTTTCCCTTCATAAATTTCACTTCCGGCCTTTGTTCTGTTGACCTCACCATAATTGGTTGACCCAATGGTCCAATGGGTCACTAGAGAATAGGGGGGGTGACACTAGATTGATCAAAGGGGATTGGCGTGAGAGGAAAGGGAAAAAAATCATCACTCGAGGAGAAGAGCTGGGAAGGAGAAGACAGCGATATCAAGGAATACGGAAAGAAAATCCCCCTGGAACAACCGAGGTTCAAATTTTTACCAGTCAACTCCTTTGAATCTTTTCTATCAAAATTCTATTCTTATTAATTCCATCTCAATCGAGGGCCCTTTCCTTTTTGTGTATTTTTAAGTTATAGTTAAGATAGATGTAAGTTAGAATAAGTTATAAAAATAATGTACTCGCTTCCATTGACTATGTCCAAAAGCAGCTCCAGGACCCTAGTATGAATTTTCATAATGCTGCCTTGGACATAAAAGCCCTCCGAGACTATTTTTCAAATGAAGGAGAGAGGCTAGTTAATGAGGCATTAAAAAGAGGATTCAATCTTTGCTAGGAATGGGATGTAGCCACGGAAAGGCGTTGAAAGTGAAAAAAATGTATGGCTGGAGAGAGTGCATCGGACACGGGGTTTATGGCTAAAGAAATGGAACGAGTAATGAAGAGATCACTGGATCGTATTGTGTGTGAAATGAGTGAAAAGTTTGCATGAAACTAATGCCAGATTTGGATTTCTTCTAGATGTTAAAACGATCGACATGTTATGGCACTGACGACCAAGATGTTTTAAAAAAGAAATGTAAAGAATTTGGAGATTTCTATGGTTGTGAGGTTAACAGGGAACAGTTATACGAAGAAATATTGGATGTTCAAATGCTAATATCTACCAGAAAAAACACCAACATAAAAAAATCTGAAGAGCTACTTGAATTTATTGTGCAGTACGGGGATGAAAATGTATTTCCGAATCTGCGCATTTCCATTCAAATTCTGCTCACAACTGCAGTATCCATCGCAAGTTGTGAGCGATCTTTCAGCAAGTTAAAATTAACACTTTTGCATTTGAGAGCTACAATGGGTCAAGAAATGTTATGTGACCTAGCTTTGCTCAGTGTAGAGCGAGAAGAAACAAAAAAAAACTGATTTTGAAAACATCAATATGTTTGCATCGCAGAAGGCCAGGAAGGTGCAATTGTAAATGTAAAGAATTTACGGACTCACTTTCGTTATAAAATAGAAAATAAATGTTTTGTAAGATTTATGACTATTTTATTTAGTGCATCTGTTTTTTATATTAAGATAATTTACAAAGGGATGCAACTTTGATGCGTGCCCTAGACAACATTTTCGATTGGTACGCCCCTGAAAAAAGTCACAACAGATGTAAACTCTCTCCTGATATCATATGAATACATATGCTTTATAGAAATATTGCCAAGAAATTATCCTCATATTTTCAAAAAACTAAAAAAATTATTAAATTTCTAAACTGTCTAAATATCTGTTTGTTCTTGACTCAAAGATATATAAAAAACAATTATTTATATATCTGTTTTATATATCTAAAAAATTGTTTTGATTATTATTATGTTATTATTATCTGAGCCACTCAGTTGCCAAATCGATTAATTCCACAAAACAAAGTATAAAAATTAATAATATAAATTATTTTTAATTACTTTACACTTTAAATTTAAATGAACATTATAGAATGTATTTTTATATAAAATAATATTAAAGCATAACTTTAACTTAACAATATATAAAACTAGCTGTTACCCGCGACTTCGCCCACGGCGGTTTTGCAAGCAAACCCAATTTATATTCAATATTTCAATAACCATAGTAATTGTTATATAACACCTACCGCTGAAGAGAATTGCCGAGAATCAAACGAACTATTTTCAATTTGATCAATTTTCGGGAACGTTTACAATCATTCTATAATCAAACCAATATGCAATAACAAATTCGAATTTAAAACGGTTCGAACATTTTTAAAATCGAAATGGATAAAAATATTTATAACAGTGTCTGAAGTGTTATCAATTTAATACACCTAAGTACTCAATGAAGACTAAACGTAGTTGAAAACAAAAAACCGCATCTAAAATAGTACAGTAGAAGCCGTTCTTCCGGTTAACCCTTAATGCTCACCCTCACCCCCCGCGGGGGAATTTCTAAAAATCCCTTCTTAGTGTGCGTTGCCATGGCGTACCCTACTAAAACGCAGATAAAAACAAAAAATCGCATCTAAAATAGTACAGTAGAAGCCGTTCTTCCGGTTAAGCCTTAATGCTCTCCCTCACCCCGCGGGGGAATTTCTAAAAATCCCTTCTTAGTGTGCGTTTTCATGACGTACCCTAACTGTGTACCAAATTTCACCTCTCTAGGTCCAGCAGTTTGCTCTGGGCGATGATGAATCAGTCAGTGACTCAGTCAGGACAAGTAATTTTATATATATAGATTAGTTATGTGAAAAATGTAAAAATAATAATGATTACATTAAAGATTTACAAATGGAGTTAATCGATTTTGCCTGTGAATGGCTCATTTGATTATTAAAACATTCTTTACAGCTTCAAAAGAAAAAGTCTTACCTGTTGTCTAGACGCATATGGATATGTAGTAGTAGTATGTCCGGTTGGTTGATAAGTTTCATACGTTGCTTGATTTGCCCGTGGAGCAGCAGATGCATATGGCTGAGCTGTATGTTGTACAGCATATCCTGCAGCTGCAGCAGCAGTTGCCTGACTGGTTGGGTATGTTGCTGCTGGAGCAGTGCTGAAAAAAAAGTATTTTGTTTAAAAACTTAATGGCTCTTAAATTTTATTCTTAGGTAATATTTGATATTAAATTACTTAATTTGAAATCAAAATTTGTCTTTTGCATTTTTTAATAAATACTACTATAGTATAAGAACTAACATTGTACTTTTTCAATTCAAAGATCACTTTTTATCCATTTTTGCTTGTACAAAATGTGTGTTGGAATCAATGATATTTTAAAATTACAGACCAAACAACAATCAGAAATCATTAGCTGAACATATAACACAATAACACATTATGCACCACTATCAAATCAGTTCATATGAACTTTGCTGTTAATGAGCATTTAATTTAAAAACTCTTCTTAAGCATTTAAATGATATATGATGTAATATTAAAGTTATATATACAGAACAGCATGAAAATAGAGCTGTCAAACATTACCTGTTCCATGGCATTTGTAATATTTTTCCAACTTACAAAACTTAATATGATAAATTGATTATTTAAAAATCTTTTTGATTTCAAACATATCATTTTGTATACATTAGTATTAGAGTATGAATCTAATCATCATCACCAAAGATTTATATTTTCCTACTATTGGTATGATTATCTTCACAGTGCAGTAAAAGCTTATTTCTCAAATGTTTTTGGTCTTCTTAATAGACTTCCTCAGGAAATTTATAATTTAAAAACAAATGAAAACCATAATTTATTCTAGAATCACTTGATTTGAATCAGTGGCGTGCCGTGACATTTGATAATAGGGAAGCTCTGTTTCTGTAAGAAGCCGACTTCCAGGGGGCAATCAGTCAGTGATGGTCTAGGGTCCATTCATATTCGTTTGTTCAATAAGCCAGTAAAAACCGTAGACTTCTCTAAATGTATTTTTAATTAATAGATTATCTAGCACACATAATAAATAAGCAAGTTCAATATAATTAACTCTGTTATATTAGATTTAATAGATTCTCTACACCCTCTAAATGCCAATTCTCACTTCAATAACATCTAATTAAAATATAATATATCTATTAGCCGTAACTATCTTGTTATAATTTTCAATATTTAATTTATATTGTGTACTAATGTTAAATTCTATTCTGATTTCCAAATTGCTTCAATTTTATGAAAGAATCAATGCAAGATTTACGATTTTCGTGTCTTTTGCCAGCTTTATTCAAATTATTTAAATCGTGAAAGCCAATCTCATTCCACACACTAATTTTATTTGAAAATAGTGGGGAAGGCCAATGAAACAATTTTTGCATTTTTATGCATCCACAAAGCCATTTTATATCTTCATAAATTTTATCACGAAAATGTCTAACAAATTTTTTTGTTGACATATTTATATTTAATTTAGGCATTGGTCTTTCTCTTTTAATAATGTTTTATTTTTCATTATATGGTCTCGAGACAAAACTTTTTGAAATAAATTTTCAATATCGCAATTACATTCTAAATTGCTACCCATAATATAAGGGCTAAAATTAAAAATATTATAAAAACTTACTTGTTAAAATAAAATGTGTGATGGATATACAATTATACATACCTGGTACAAAATATTCAATTGTATGAATATACTTTTAAAGAAAATTATAAATATAGTTTTGTGAAAAAACATACATAAAAATAACATAAAATAGTTTTTACATTTTAAATATTAAAACAATCCACCTAGTTAAAATTGCTCCCTACCAGTGGCTCGTGGATGGAATCAGAGACGGTCTTGGTAGGTGTGCGGTGCGGTGCATGCTTGCCAAATCCCGAGGGTGCCGATACCGGTTAATGTCTCTTTTGTCTCATCACTAGTATATCTCAAAGGACGCGACAGGGTTGTTGTAAATTTTAAACGTTTCTCATCATAGCTGTAAAAATCTAAATTTGTTAAACTTAAAAGTCATTTGTTTTCTAACTACTGTAATTCGTTTTAAGACCAGGTGTCCACGGAAATTTCCAAAATTTACAACTTTTAGTCACTTTCATTGAACTGGAAAAATTTCTGTCTTTATTACATCTAATATTACGAAGAAATCAGTCCACACTGTACTCGGTTAAGCTTTTGTTTAAGTAAAATTCCGGCTCTTTCAGCAGGGTTTTGTGTCCCCACTTCCCTAATCGCTTAATTATTTAACTACTTCTTAAGTAGAAATAAGTCAAAACCAGTTACTTTGTACTCGAATATTTCTAGTCTTGGGAAAAAAGTGGAGAGAAAAATTTTTACGACAACGGATACATAAATCGTAAATTTAAGGAAAATAAATTCTAGCGCTTTTTCTGTACCTCGTGCATCTCTCTCATTCATTAAATTTAGTTGTAAATGACGCTGTCAAAGTAACAGTTAATTTTTTAACATTATACAAGAATTGTACACATTTTTTTCTACATCCCCTTAAAGATGGGATATACGAAATCGTAATTTCACTGGTTTAACATTGAAATCCGTGAGTACTATAAAATCGGAAAGCAGAATAAAAATATCAAATATTTTAATGGATTTTTTTTTAACTCCTGTCAACTATACAGAACTATCATAAAAACATACCAGTAAATTCTTATCTGTTGGGTTAAGTTATAAATCTACTCGTTATTCACATAATTGAGCGATGGCGGCCAAATATCTAGCAGGCTGGCGGCTAACAGCCCAGAACCTGTCCCAGATAGAATTGGATGTGTTATATGTGTTGCATCCACCCAAAGTCCTAGGCTTCCAACAGCTAAACCACGTGAGGTTGGTGCTCTGTAAAGCGCATGCGCGAATCTGGCTTTTTGGATGCTGACAATACAGCGCTTCCACTCCGCCACTAATATTCAAATATACAATAGCAATCTTATCTTTTTTTTTCATGTGTAGTATAGAAATTTGTAATAAGATACATAATGCAGTTATAATAAAATATTGTGCGATTATTTTCATATAATTAAAATTAATATGTATTTATTTTTTAGAAAATACAAGGGAAGCAGTGCATCCACTGCTTCCAATGACAGCACACCACTGATTTGAATACTGTGTTGAACAACAAGATTAAAAAAATAAATTTTTTAAAATATACATTAATCAACTTATGTTTCCAAGTAACAAAGCAAAAAAAAAAAATGCCATGTAGATGATCAATATTCACAGAAGGGTGATTTTTATTCCAACTGTCCATTAGTTATCATGTTGATCCTTCTAGATTAATTCATCTGTGAAAATGGCAAAACTCTGGCATGCACATAAACACAGTAAAGTAAGAATATAACTTATTAAATTTAAAATAAACTAAAAACTTCTAAACTAACAATACATATATTCATTACCAATAAATCCATGACTTATAGGTAAAGAATTCGATCCCGGCCCTTATTTCTAATCCCGGGATTATACTTAGTCAATCTCAAAATCCCAGGATTATTTCAGTATTGAAGGTTAATAAAAAAAATAAAAAATAAGAAAATCTTATAGAAATCAGCTCTTTAATCAACAAATCAAAATTTAGACAAAAAGCAACGTAATTAAAATTTAGACAAAAATCAACGTAATTAAAATTTAGACAAAAATCAACGTATTTTATGGTATACACCTAGCTAATCTAATCACTCTAACTAATCAGACTTAGGGCTGTTTCACACTATGACTGACTGGACCGACTCCAAGTCATGTTGCCATGACAACAGCAGTCAACCGACCGACTGGTCGTTCCAGCCAGACAGATTTAAAAAGTTAANTAAAAAAAATAAAAAATAAGAAAATCTTATAGAAATCAGCTCTTTAATCAACAAATCAAAATTTAGACAAAAAGCAACGTAATTAAAATTTAGACAAAAATCAACGTAATTAAAATTTAGACAAAAATCAACGTATTTTATGGTATACACCTAGCTAATCTAATCACTCTAACTAATCAGACTTAGGGCTGTTTCACACTATGACTGACTGGACCGACTCCAAGTCATGTTGCCATGACAACAGCAGTCAACCGACCGACTGGTCGTTCCAGCCGGACAGATTTAAAAAGTTAAATATTTGTAGTTGGGTCAGAGCAGTCGATGAGCTACAGCCAATGAGAGCTTCGAAACTATAGGGTTGGCAACTAAATGATTGCGGATTTTAAATAAGAAGGAAAATTCAAAATTTTTGCTTAAAAATATAACTTTATTCAATTAGGTATTGTCCATTTTTGTCAATGACCTCTTGCCATCTTTCAGGCAGTGTCATAATTCCATGTTCATAAAACTTCTGATTTTTGCCAGCAAAAAACTGAATTAAATATGTTTTTACATCATCAGCGTCATTAAAAATTTTACCATTTAAGGAGTTTTGCATGGAACAAACTAATTTGAAGGCGCAAGGTCAGGGCTATATGGTGGATGTGACAACACATCCCAACCTAGCTCCAATAATTTTTGGTGAGTGACCAAAGATGTGTGGGGCTTTGCATTATCATGCTGGAAAACAACGCCCTTATGATTTGCCAATTCTGGCTGTTTTTCTTGAACTGCATTGTTTAGTTTGGCGAGTTGTTGAACGTGTACACATTTGAATTAATCGTTTGGTTTCTTGGTAAAAGTTCAAAGTACAGAATTCCTTTATAATCCCACCAAACTGAGAGCATCATCTTTTTTTTGGTGAATCTCAGCTTTTGGTGTCATCTGGGCTGGTTAATCTCACATCACCCACGATTTTTTCTGATTAACATTGCTATAAACTATCCACTTTTCATCGCCAGTAATCAGTCGTTTCAGAAATGGATCAATCTCATTGCGTTTCAGAAGTGAATCACAGATGCTAATGCATTGCATCAAATGAATTTCCTTAAGCTGATGAGGTACCCATAAATCCAGTTTCTTGACATAGCCAAGCTGTTTTAATTTTTTTTGAATGCATGTGATACATTGAGCTTCTGTGCAATCTCATGCGTTGTGCTATGACGATCTGAATCGATAATGGCCTTGATATGGGTCTCATCAACTTCAACTGGATGGCCAGATTGTTGAGCATTTTTCAGTGAAAAATCACCA